ATATGATATGAAATCGCACGAGGCATTTATACAAAAGTTTCCATAAGCTCCCGTGTTAAAAATAAGAATTTTGTAATGCATTTTTTTAAACAATTTTCATGGAAACCCTATACTTTACTTACGGAAAATGAAAGTTCATAACTTTAACCATTGTTTAGTTCAACTTGTATTAAAATCTGAGATGAAAAGCGGAAACCAGTGAAATATTATCTTCGTAGAAAGACACGTAGAAGATAGTTTTATTTGTGATAATTATCGACTCGGTCTCGGTTAGAATCGAAATCGGTATGCGAGCAGCACGATCTGGAGACTAGGCACCTTTGGTTATCAGGTAACATATCTCGTAATCCTTTCAAGCTCTCTCGTTCCCTCGATACGCTGAATATCCTAGTAAAGCCGTAGGGGTTCGTGGCGACGTGCCATATCCGTAGCAATGTACGTCGACGTTTATGAATAGCTAACGATTAACGAAAATCCGATGAAAATTCTCGGAAATTAATTAACTATCGTAGATATTAAAAAACGCGGAACGGTAGACAATAAAACGAGAACGAGCGTTGCATGGAAATCCTCCCGGAATGTAGAAATAACCGCTGGGAACGTCCTCGTAATCGAGAACAAGATTTTACATAATAAACAGACATTTCCATGCCGAGCGCGTTCCCTTAGCAGAATCATTCGCGCGCGTCGAGGAACGGAAAAATTGTCAGTTTGCGTCCGACGAATTGAAATCGTTCGTCTCCGCTTCCAGCGTAGCTCTCTTCGATCGCCTTCCCTTCCTTCAGAGCTAACCCGTTGCGAACAATTTTCCAACGGGCGGCGAGCAGAATTACTTACGTTGCCGTTGATACGATCGAGTTCCGGGGAATGTAAAGAAAATAGAAAAAAGTACTGAGGATGCGATTCGGCGAAACACATCGGTGGATCGTGGTCAAAGGACGGTATAGGTGTGCGGGATGGTCGAAGGTACGGCGAACCGGACAGAGAAACGTACGTGATCCGGAACCGAGTATCGTCTATTGGAAAATCTAGCTATTATACGATGCGTCGTTCTCTATACATACATAGGCAGGAATGGAGTCTCGGCTGACCCCTCTGGGAGCTAAGGCCGTGCTTTATTTTGCCTCTCGGGGAACCCATCCGAGGGAAGACGGTATTTTTATTCAAATTTCATTCGATCCGTCCTCGAACTTTTCCTCTACCCACTTCAATCGGAGGGATCGTATTATGCGGCTTCTCTCGAGTAAAATCGCTCTAATGCCGAGACTTTGTAAATTTATTCTATTTGCCAAAAGCCGATCGCCCGTCCCTTCGCCCCCCTGATAAATTCGTATTTCTTTTTTTTTATTCTCGTCGTCGGTCTGGTACTTTACCGGTGGAACGTCTTTCCTCTTACTACCAATGCTCGCGTTGACAAACGCGTCTCGTCGATTATTCACAGACTCGATGGGAAACGATGCGTGATATTAATATTTATGGAACGCGAACGAAGAGTAGCGAGGGAATTCTCCAAACGAAAGACGAAGAAATGGTTTCTGCTTAATAGACGGCGAGGGTAAACTGTGTATCTAGATTCGAATAGACGGTACATAGACGAACGAGAATAGCAGCGTGGGCCTTACATAGTTTGGCGGGTAGACAGGCAGACGCGTAGACGATAAGAGCTCCAGGTGTGACGGTGGCAATGTCAGCGCTGAGTTATCGTCTTGTGTTTGCCGCCAAGACGAGCCACGTTTTGCCAAAGGCATTCGTTGGTAAGGGTAAGCATTTCGAACGAGGGTCGGAATGAAAGCCAAGAGTGTATAAACGGTGCTCTTAAGGGGGTAGACTCCGATAGCTACGCGATAAGGTAGACTGTCAATGTTACCCACAAAATTAGTCAAAAATATGGGTTTACGGGAATACACTTTTCGTCCTTATATGAGAATATTTTTCGGTACGTCAGGTACCTCTTCAGAAAGAGCAAAGTTAAATCTGGCGTTAACATAGTTAATTGATCAGCACTATTTCGTTGTAGATTTAAAAAAATTTATATCAAGATACATGATTACTTACAGTCTTACTTTCTAAAGAACGAATTGATTAATTGTGGGAAAAAAAGCAATGAAGTTGATCAGTTTGACTTTTGTATGGGTCGGTTATAAAAGGCCAGAATAGGAAAATAACTCGAGACGGTAAGGGAAAAAGAAAGAAAAGGAAAAGAATGGGCCGTGAGCATTCGTTGCAGTAGCTGCAGCACGAGAAGAGTTGCTAATGATTCGCTAACGAGATACGTGCCCAGTCTGTTTCGTACTGAGACGAAAGAAAAACCGACCGTCTTAAGAATAAGAGAGAAGGTCTCTTCCTCTCGAGACTTCCTCTCTATGCTCTTCTTCTCTCCGTACCGCCATTGACGAGCCTTGTCTTTGTCTTCACCTCGTTGTCTCTTGCTCCGTTCTTTTTTCCGTGTAGTACCTTGAATGTAGATGTACGATCCATCCTTTCACGGCAGTTTCTTTTAACAATCGAGTATCGTTTAAAGTTTAAACGGAGTGCTACGAGAAGTCGATAAATTCGATGAACACCCGTGCCGCGCGATGCCGATCTCAACTCCATCGATTCGTGATCGCAGAACGTCTGGCGAAAATATGCATGCAACATCGACAAGAAACAGCAGCCTCCGTTGTGCGTCAGTTCTCCTCAATTTAGACTTTTCTTTCTCTCTCTTCGTGCTCCCGATTTTTAGACCAGTTTTATTCCGACCACTTTACCTTCAAACTTTTATTTACGTGTCGCCGGAAAAGCGTTCTCGTGTCCCGACATCGGCGAGACCCTTCTCTGACTCTGCGCCTACACGATATTCCGATGCCTCGAGTTCCCATTAAAAGCGGACTTGCCAGCCAAGAATCTTTCCGAGTCTATCGACACGATCTCTGCGTACGAATATTTACGTTCCGTGATTCGCGAAATCCTCTTCGCGTACGATAAATTATACGTTCGTGCGCAGATCCATACGTAATTTCAGTAAATCTTGTTTTTCATCGATATCGTTACCGTTAAAATGAAATGAAATCCGTGATGAAGTTTACATATCCGATGTCTCGGAAATTTTCATGTCCGTATAGCTGGCACATGGAGTCGATCCGATGACTAATCGTTGACTATTAATATTTTCGGGGATCCCGTTGGACGGGCATCCGTATTCATCTATCAGGATGTGGACAGGAGAAAAAGTGATTTCCCGTCAGTGTTGCGACCGGATCGCTATTGTGCATTCTCTAGCTCTAGCTTTCCTGTGCTTCAATTTCAAAGCTATCGATCACTCGACAATTAACAAGATAAATCCGTTTTGTCTTTCACTCTGCGCACGTATCGAAATTCTCGTTTATTCCGGTTCGCAATAAAGGCTTAGTGAACCTAGTTACCCTGAAATATTCACCGTGAAATATCTAATTTATCGAGAACTGTTCCCAAACAAATAAACTACTTTGATTTAATAAATACGGTTTCGTAATATTAGGTCAATCCAACAGTTCGTCTTCGATTTTTAGAGACGGGTCAAACAGTCGTACTTCAGCATACATAGTTGTTTTACCATTGTATTACAAACGTATCGAAAGATAATATCCTCATGAGTCCAACACGCCGTTCATTTAAGTTTGTTTAAACTGGATATAATTTTCCGCTTGAAGACTAAATATCAATTATTATAGTCCAAGTGTATGAAATTATTTATTTAACAATGGGACTTAAGTACTTAGCGAAATTGAATATTACGAAAATGAAAAATATAAAGAGAAAGTTATTATTGAAAAATATTTGAATTCTTCGACACTTTTTGGAGTTATTGTAAATCTACAAATCCGAGATATTGGACATCCTG